TTTATCTCCGTAGTCACTTGATAGAAAACCTTCGAGAAACCCTCAGAAAATGCAAGGCTTACTCTTTTCAATAGTGTTTATCAGAGGTGATATTATGTTTACTAGAGGTGATATTTTTGGGGTGAAAAGAAATTATGTTTTTGATTTCGAAACTTTTGTAAACGATTTTCTAATTGAGCGTAGACAGACATTTAAGAAATCAGACAATTTGAAAAATTCGAATCAAACCGTTTAATAGCAAATTCTCAAAAAGAAAAACAATATAAATGGGAAAAAATCATCTAATCTACATACACATAGGCTTCCCAGATCTTGACTCTCAGGAGCTATGCGATTCCAGACTTGGATGCAGCGGTAATGGATTATGCATAGGTAGAGGGATTACTGTAGTTTTACTGTATCCATGTTTACATTTCCTAATTGTTCATAATCACAGGTACGAAAGAAGATTATAGCTGTGCATGTTTTTTGGGATACGAAGGCGAGATGTGTCAACACAGAGTTGGAGGCAAGAAGTGCAGCCAGGAAAGTATGAATCAAGCAGTTTTCTTCTAAATTCAGAATCAAACGTTCTTCTTCCCACAATGTCAAATGCCTGCACACCTGCAGATTGCAATAATCAGGGTGTATGCGTTGGTACTAGAGATCTTCCATTTTGCCTGTGTAATCTTGGACGTATTGGAAAGTATTGCGAGGACAGCATTAGCAGCTTGAGTGAGTCCATTTTCGGAAATTGTCATTCAAACTGACAAAATAATTTTCTTACAGCGAATACTGACCCAACTGCTCCAATCACAACCTGTTCGCCAAGTGATTGTAACAATAAGGGAATCTGCCTTGGCACAAAGAACTCATTCGTCTGCGCTTGCCAGCTGGGATACACTGGAAGCCGCTGTGAAAATAGTAAGCTTTGAAAAACTTCGGAGGCAATGTGCACCCAAACTGAATATTAAACATTTTGATGCTGTATAATAGCGAGGCCCTCAACCTACGTATTGGCCCAAGCCCCGCTGCAAAAAATGAATTCTGAGAAGAGAAAGTAGCTCCAAAAATTAGCAGTGGCCCAGGCAACTCCGCCCGTCAACGTGGGTGGTATAAGGATAACTGAAAGCGGGCTACAGGGCAGGCAAAAAAGTCCAAAATCTCGTAATCATAGTGAAGGACGAATTGGTGATAACTTGACTGCTTTGGAGCCGATTTTGGACTCTTTG